TATAAAAAGATTCTACATCAAAACAACATACATTTCTATTGAACTTGCTTTTGCATTTCACTAGGAAAAAGCAAAACTTTCCTACACAGTAGGGCTTGACAGTAGCCGATACTTCATTGCTTTTGCATTAGACAGACCAGAACAGTATCAGAAGGCTCTATATATAGATACGCACACAGAGACACGTGTAAGCAAAAGTACCTGTCCCCAGTGATGGGAAAAGTTTAAGTTAACCTATCAATTTAAATTATTTCATGGACTTTAAAAATGTTAATTGTGTTACACTCTTGGTATCACTCAGGGTCAAAGCTCTGAGCTACTTATACTGCCCACTATTTGGCATGACTGAAATGCTCAATAATAATAAAAATAAACTTCAGCTTTTCAAACAGGAGATAGATGAATGCTCAGACTTGTTTGTTAATAAATGAATATGGTTTGTTACAGTCATGTTGCTCCTGAGGCTTTTGCTAGGATTTCAGTTTTCTTACATTTGGTTGATATGCATAAGTGTAAAAGGGGTGAATAGAGACGATTTTAGAGTTTTCTTCATGTCAATGATTTAATACTTTTCACTTAACTGAATATTGTTAGTGCTTTGGTGAGTGTTTAGAAAAGCCTTTTCGGTTAATGGTTTTGAGACTTAAATATTATCCCTTGAGATTTCATAAAATTTTAAAGGGACAAAAAGGAGCTTATTAGCCCATCAAGGATGTCCCTTCCAGCTCCCAACTATAACCACCACTTACTACTCATGTATGCATCCAATCTTTTCTTGAGCTCGGTTATATTTTCTGCCTCCAACTAATTCCAAAAGCCAACTTGTTTGAAAAGTAATACTGTCTGAACTGCAGACGACTCCTACGCTGCCAAAATTTGAATTTTTGATCACTTGTTCTATTGTTTTCATTGCTAAACACAAAAAGTTTGATGGATCTATATTATCAATACCCTTAATAATCTTAAACACTTCAATCAAATCCTCTCTGACCTTTCTCCTTTCCAGAGAAAATAAGTTTAGAGATTTTAGTCTCTCTTCATAGGACAATCCCACCATCCCAGGTATCATCCTAATGGCTCTTCTGTGAACCTTCTCTAACAATTCAATGTCCTTCTTGAAGAAGGGAGCCCAAAAATGTAAACAGTATTCTAAATGAGGCCTTACAAGTGATCTGAACAGTGAAACAATAATATCCCCTGTCTTGTATTCAATATTTCTATAGATGCTACCAAAAATCCTATTAGCCCTATTGCTAGCTACAATACACTGTTTAGATGACTTAAGTGATTTTTCAATCACAACACCAAGATATCTTTCTTAACCACAGTATTTAATGTATTTTTCTTTATATTGTAACAATAATTTAAATTGTGAAAACCCTACATGCATCACCTTACATTTTGGATAGTTAAACATCTGCCACGTATTGGCTCAGTGCATCAAATGGTCTAATTCTCCCTGTAAGTCTGCAGCATATTTGATACAGTTAGCCACCCCAAAAATCTTAATGTCATCTGCAAACTTCAAAATTTTGTTTATCCTTCCAGAGTTAATATCATTAATATAAATCACAAACAGCAGAGGATCCAGCACAGAGCCCTGAGGCACACCACTTGTAACTGTGATCCAGTCAGATCTAACTCCATTTATTACCACTCTCTGCTTTCTACTCTCTAACATATTTTATATCCGATTTAACATTTCCTCCATGCCCCTAGATTTAATTTTTGTAACAAGTCTTTTTGTGAAGTACCTTATCAAACACTTTATGAAAATTGAAGTAAACCAAATCCACAGTATTTTCTTCATCAACTCTTGCAGTAGCATCCTCAAAGAGTGTCAGAAGATTTGTTAAACAAGACTTTCCCTTAGTGAAATCATGCTGGCTCTTTGACACTATATCAAACTGCTTTAAGTGTCTTTGCAATGCATCTTTAATCACACTCCCCAAAACCTTTCCAACTACTGATGTAAGAC